CAGGGAATTTAGAACCAGCTAGCAGAAACCAAACATCAATTTCTATATTATCTCTTTGTCTATAAAAAACTTGCTTAGCAATAGGATAATGTCTTCATAGAGCCAAACATGTTACAGACAGAAAGGATCTAGACATCACTGTATCCAGCATCTATGTTTTACAGATGTAAGAACTGAAAGCCACCGAGACTTACTAACTTTACCATAGTAAGTAAACATTAAAAGGGAAACCAAGACAAGCACTCCCTTGCTGTGTGCATTTGAGCTTGTTCCAGCTATGTTTCTAGTCCTCATAAGTTCAGAGGATGAGACTGGCAGTGGGCATCGAATAGTCTAGGTCAATGCAGCCGCGACATTAGCTTAGTTTACGTTTTAATAATTTGTATACAGCAGTCACAACATGTAAACCAACTGTTACTCTTCCTCACTGTCTCCCTTGCTGATCTCCTGATGTTTACAGTTCCCTAATTCTACAGTCACTTTTTTTTGGTTGCTCTGGCTCTGACTTTGGTAGGGATTTAGACATGTTTTTGAAATTCTTTTAAACAAAATTTTTTGATAGGAGGGAGGGTAGTTCCTTGTTTAGTTTTATTGCTTCACATATTTAAGTCAAGTCATATAATTCATCCATTTCAATTGCACAATGTGATGATTTTCAGTCATTCACAGAGATGTGCAATGATCTCCACCATCAATTTTAGGGTGTTTTTCTTCATCATGCTTAGAAATCATTCCCAATCCTCCCACCCCATTTGTGCTGTCTCTCCCTTAACCCCTCAGAAATCCATCAGGCTCAACCTTTATGATTCTGATCTGAGGTAGGAGGTGCCCTAGGATTCTGAGTTTAAAACCCAAAGTAGATAAGGAAATCCACGGCTTTTGAGTAGATTCCACTACTGCCACAATCTCTCTTTTAGGCTCAGGAATCATTGCTCTGCTCAGCTCAGCTGAAGAAGCTGTGAGGATGCTACCTCATTCTCTAGTTCTCCATTCTCCAGGCCTTGAAAAAGTACATGCTACCTCTGTTTGGCCTAGTGAGGGTACTCAGTCCCCATCAGTGAGAGTCAAGTGAGTTATTTTATTGGGGACATTTGGGAAAAGAGCACAAGTCCTTCTCCTGGGTCACTAAAGCAAAATAACTTTGGTCTCAAACTTCTGGTGATCATGATTGTCATAAAGAAAGCAAAGCAAATGAAACAGAAAGAAAAGCAGAATGGAAAATAAGATGCTTTGTCTAACAATATACAAAGATCTGTATTAAGCTATGTCTGCACTCAGTGGACTTCATATCTTCCCATCTCTTGAACCAGTAGAGGGTCAATTCTATTCAGTTTGAATTGGATTTTGGTCTCTTGTGAGCCGAGTAACCATAATGAAGACAACCTTTGAATCTGACAAACGGACTACACTGTCTTCAGAGACAAAGAAGTGACTCTCTGGAACACTCATCAGGGTTCCTCTTCCCCAACCTCCTCTGCCTTTCTTACTCTGACTCCACCTGCAAGCCTGCTATGGGTTCCCTCTGGACCGTGTCCCCCTGTGGCTACAGGTCTGATTCACACTGAGAAAGAGGCAGAGGATACAGCAACAAGTTCTGCAAACAGCTCAGCTTTTGTCTAGACTCATTCAGAGGAAAGAACAAAGACAGCTCTACCTGCTACTTAGCAATGTCAGTACAGCTGGCTTCGGCTTCGTAACCAGCTTTCTGAGACTGTGAAGTTTAACGGGTTGAGTCATCTTTTTTATTCCCCCTCCATCCCCCATGCACCATATTTTTCAGACACTCAGAGCTCAGCATGGTCTAAACCACCAGAGCTACCAGCAGAGCTGGACACGGTGAGAACTCTGGCACGCGCACAACCCCATCTATCCATGACCTGCGATGCCATGCAGCCCTCCATCGCCCTCCTCCTAAGCCCTGCATGTTTATGATGCTCAGACGTCCTGGCTCTTTCTCATTCCCTCTAACTGCAAAGAGCTATTATGGATTTTCATAAAGGAAGAAAAATGCACAATAAAAGGACTAAGTGTAAATTTACTAGGCAGCCCTTTCAAACTGCAGAGCTCTAGGGCAATTTAAACACATAACTACAAGGAGACTAATCTGTTTGTGCTAAGTGGAGGAACCACTTCCTCTGCCACCAACACACATCATGTGTGATGTCCCAGAACGTCGGACTTCATGTCTGGGGCCTGCTTATCCTTAAGGGTATTTACCTGTTCAAAACAGCGGGTGGTTAATAAACAAAGAAATTAAATGTAATGTAGACGATGCTCAGGTACTTTCTCCAAGGCAAGACATAAATCTTAACCCAGGAGGTCATCGTGCACCTAAAATTGAAGACCAGGTTTCATTATTCAAAAAAATGGAGTGTGCATAGCTCTAAATGACTGAAATTATTCAGTTTTCATGGAAAAATTTTTAGATAATTAGCTATTAAAAATGTAATATTTAACCATCTAATCATTAAACCCTTTCAACAGTCATCCTGGAATGTTTAATAATAGAAATTAGTATTTTAGAATTTGACGAATTGAAAACCACATATCCATGAAGAAAATAAAGACATGAGATGCTCTTCAGCTGTCTTACATATATAATAAAATGAGTCATTGAATAGCATTCAAAAATTTTATCTGAGTTAACAATTTATTTAGTAATTAACCCTGCAACCCAGCCACTAGTAGACTGGACTATTTTTCCAAATCAAATTAGAACTGCAAATATTATCTATAAATAATAAGGAGGTAAAATTTTTATTTTGATAAGAACAAAAATAACTGGGCAAAAAGAAGTAAAATTTCAAGTTAATTCAAATAAAATGTCTTAGGTAAGTACAGGGTAGTTGAATAGAAAATGTTGTAACCTGCTAAGTTAGGTAATCTAAAATGGCTAAAAATTCCACACATAGGAATAGAAAAAGACTATTGACGATTAATTATTTAAATGGAGGAAAAGCAAAATTTTGAAGAGATCATCTGCCTACATTACTAAGAATTATGGCCTATACCCAAATTTTAAACATAAAACAACAAAGAAAAAACTCATAAAATCTCTTCCCTAATAATAAACAGTAAAAGAATAACTTTCAATGCAGAAGGTGTATAATACATTTTTGTAAATTATTACAAGTGCTTTAAAACTTGCATTGCCTCTGTTACTCTACTAAAAGAAAAGCTTAGACATAAAAAGCAATAATTATAATAAAATACATGTCAGTCAGTCCATTTTCAACTGTTTCTCATTATACAGTTTTTGTAACCAAGATATTGCATACACAATGTTTCCTTCAATGTTCATTTTAAATATAACTTTGTAAATAATACTATTAAGAAAATATATTCAACTGTTTTTAAGTCAATTCTCAGCCTCATTTTAAATGTGTACTTCAAGATACAAGTATACATGATTTTCAAACACACCTACCCCTTCCTAGACTGTGTTGACTAATGAGTATTACCAACACTTAAAAAAAAGTATTCTAGACAACATAAGAGGTTGTTTTTTGTTTTGTTTTGTTTTGTTTTTTGTTTTCTGATTTGATGAATCAAGGCGACAATTTCAGAAAAAATTAGTTCCACCATGTTTTGGATTTGCAGTTTATACTAATGGTTACATGAAAGTTAATCTTAAAATGATTCCTAAGGAAAATTCAAATCAGAAAGAAAGACGTAAATGGGGCACACCATGTCGGGGAGCACAGAGCTGCACGGTGTCCTGGGGGCTCTGTTCGCAGGCACCTGAGGAAGCGTTGGCACTGATGCAGCCTGCCTCCATTCCCAGATGAAATCGGCACACATCTGAGCTGCAATTTCCAGGCAAGCGCCAGGAGCTCCTTAGCTTACAGAGCAGATTTGCTCATTTCCCTTCAGTGGAGACCAGCACGCAAGCCTCTGCCTGTGGCTCCAGAAGTTTACAGATGGAGATCTAAACCTGAACTCCCTGGCTGAGTTCTCGCTTTCTTCCGTTCTCATCCTGAATTTAGGGGTCCGGGAAACGTCGCACTCCCCAAACCTCAGCAGCACGTTCACTTTTGCTTGGCTGTCGCCCTTGAATCTCCCTGGTCAGCTCCTGTTGTCATTTTGCTGTTGTTACAATGTATCGCACAATGAAATTTTCCAAATGAATGTACCCTGCCTACTTAACGGGATTTTATGCTACCTGGTGGGGAAGTCACCAGACAAGCCTGAAGCTCTGTTTGCAGTTTGGTTTTAGGGGAGAGAAACAGAAGCCGGCACTTCTCTAGAGCAGGTGATGTAGGAACCTGCCGCACCTGCAGTGGGACTGAAACGTCACAGCTGTACAGGTTGGGATAGAGCTGGTTGGTTTTTGCTCGCACTGAATGCACCTCGGAATGGCCTCGCCTCACCTTTTACTCTTTCTGTAAAACCCCTGCCCCCGAGGCCCCTGGTATGCAGCTGAACCCCTTCCTTCCTCGGTCTGCTGTCCCAGCTTGAGGCTCAGGACCACCGACCGCACTCAGCCTCTGAAGCCCCGCACCATGCGCGCGGGAGGAGGAGATGGCACCCCGAGGGCACCACGCGTGACGCACGTCGACCCGCACCTTTGCCTCCCTGCTCATCATCCTCCGTGGTGTTTCAGCTGTTGTGACCACAGCCGTCGCCTAAAGTGTCAGGAAAATAAGACTGACCAAAGATAAGAAAAAGGACAGGCACCACACTTTAAACTCAGTAATCCGGCCACAGTGAGGAGAGATCACTGGCTTCATCATTTCCTGGGCTCTCCCGGAACTGTGGAATCAGTTCACCGTACGGACGGACTTACATGAATCTACTGAAGAAATCCACTTAACAATACACTTAAAAACGTGAATTCTTTCATTACAAGGAGTTATTTTTCTTGACTACAGATTTTTATCTAATTATTAAACAAAACCTTGATATCAATGATGAATTATGGAAACTCATTTAAAATATATTTGAGTGTTAGTAAAAATTAACATTAGTCCATAGAAAGTTTAAAAAAAAAAAAAACCAACCTTTTTTTTTCAGGGGAGGTTCCTCTATTTCTCCTAAACCAAGACAAAAGTATAAATTAGAATTTTTACATGGCATTACAAGGCTTTACAACTTAAACATATTCTCTTTTACTTTCTAAAAATCTGTTATTTTTGACATTCATATTTAGTATATCATATTGCTTCCTTAACTCCAGATTCCAAAGCATAAACATTGTTCACATACATTTATTTGAGATAGCTTCATTTTTATGAGTTTAATAAAATTGTGGCAATGGTCCAAATTATACATTATCAGTCATTTATCAAATTAATTTCAGTTTCTCTTGCTCATCCTGACTTCTTGCTGGAGCCAAAACAAATATAAATTCAGACAAAGACATAACAGGGGCTCTAGCAAAGGTTGAACACATAATCTTTGATGACTAGAACAGTCTTAAAAATGTCATTTAAAAGACAGAATCACAGTGCTTTGTTCTTTTCATAACCACTCAGTGTAAGCTTATGTATGGCTTAAATTTGGTATTTCCTTTTATTCATTAATATACAAGAGAGCATGCACATTATCTGCATTATTGCCTTAGTGTTTAAAATGTATTTGACCATTCTACATCTTCATTTTATTCCATAAACTTATTCCTCTGCTTGTCCCTTTAGTAAAATTACTTTTGGCTATTTGACTTTGAATATGACTCATGTATAAAACATTTATATGTAGTTTTACTGTTTTTATTTCAATCTTCTTGCAGATAAACTTGAAATATAGTTAGCACTTTTTCTTAGGAAGCATATAAATGTAAGGGTTTATTGTAGGTTTACAGAGTAAGTCGTAAGACTCACTTTATTATAATGATACCATAATGGCAACATTTAATTTTGGTCTTTTTGCCATAATGACAGATAAACTCCAAGATGCGAACCAGGGACCGATTCAGTGCATTTGGAAGCCTGTTGAGATACTTGGAACACTCAGAAGTGAGTTCATTCTGCTTTCGTACCACCCAGTGCTCATTTGGACTAAAGCCTAAGCAAGCCACTATGACACATTTCTGTTCTCAGTCCCAGCAGCCAGTGATGTCGCGGGGCTTCTCTGTACCTTTGTCAACATCCTCCTCCGCATCTTCATCTTCTTCCTCCTCTGATGAGATAATGTCAGACAACAAAGAAAAGAAGCCGTAGATCCAGTCTGTGGTTTCCTCAACAGCATCATGCACTAGTTTTAAAGGATCAGATCCGATCTTGGCAATAGAACTTGCTGGAAATAATTAAAAATAAAACAAAAAAATCACAATCATCCCCAAAGAATCTCATCAGTTTTTTCCTGATTTTTATATAAACATTTCTTGGTTCAAGCCTGGAAATAGAAACAATATCTTGCTGTAGTTCGCATCTGTACACAGTTAAAAATGCAAGTTACTAAACATTGGTACCAAACATTACAAAATTACCAGGAGATAATCGTCTACAAGAAGCTTACAGTCAGGACAGGGAAAACTTAGGAATAAGTCAGAAGAGTGTATTTTTGTATTGCCCAGGTAGCAAAGAAACCTTAACTGTGGGTGGTCATGCCTGGAAGCATCGGCAGCATCACAGAGAAGGTGGCTCTGTAGATTCTCATGGAGCAACAAGATCTACAAGTTGTCAAAAGTAGCCACAAATAAATGAGTACTGACCAGTCCATTATGATTTGTGACATACCTGAAAAGTCTGGAAGCTAACTACAATCAGACTAAGCCTTGCTAGACTTGTAGATTTAATGACTGGGCTCAGTAGCATAGCGAGGTGCAAAGTCAACACTCACAATCAATAGCCTTCCCGCACAGGAATAAAACCTCACTGAGAGGGAAGTTAGGGGAACTACACTTTCAAAAATAGCATCAAAAAATGAAATACTTTGGAAACAGTCTAACAAGGGAAGTAAAAGATCTCTACATTGAAAGCTGCAGTATTCTGAAAAAAGAGATTAAAAAGGATATCAGAAAGTAGAGAGATATCCCTTGCTCTTGAGTAGAAAGAACCAACATAGTGAAAATGGCCATACTTCCAAAATCATTATACAGATTTAATGTAATCTCAATCAAAATACTATGAGCATAACCCACAGAACCAAAGAAAATGTTTCTGAAATTCATTTGGAACCAGAAGAGACCTAGAATAGCAAAAAAAGAAAAAGTATCTGAGACAACAAAGGCAAGGCACAGGGCAGGGCATCACAATCCCTGACTTGAAATTATACTACAAAGCTACCATAATAAAAACAGGATGGTGGTGGCTAAAAAACAGACCTGAGGATTAACTGGACAGATTAGAAGATGCAGAAACAACTCCAACACACTCAGGCACCTTATCTTTTACAAAGGAGTCTAGCATGTGCACTGGACAAAAGACAGCCTCTTTAATAAATGGTGCTGGACACCTGTCTCTACATGCTGAAGACTGAAACTAGACCCAAGTCTGTCACCATGCACTAAATTAAAGGCAAAATGGATCAAAGTGCTAAATACTAAAACTGAAAAACTAAACCTGCTGAAAAAAAGAATAGGTGTAACTCCTGAGGACATAAGTGTAAGCAAAGGCTTCACGAACAAAATCTCAGTTGCATGGGAAATAATACCACAAATAAACAACTGGGATCTCATTAAAAAGCTTTTGCACAGAAAAACATAACAAGAGAGTAAAGACATGTCTCACAAAAAAATTTTAGGAGCTGTCTCTCAGACAAAGGACTAATATTGTCCTCATTTTAAAATCTATGTTAGATGTTCAGGTAGGCCCTCCTCTCAGTATACCTAAAATATCAGAATTATACCAATGCTTTGTATCCTCAAAGTACCCCAAATGGTTAAGTACTCCAAAATGAGGCTTTCACTCTGACTGGAATAGGAAATTGGAATAGGAAATTGTTAGATGGCTTCAGGAGAAGAGCAAGGTGATTTGATCATGAAGCTTTTTCTGTCGCTGTCGTTCTGTACTAAAGATTAAAATAGTGCCAAGTTGGAAACCAGAGACAGGAGGGAACCAACTGACATTGTTCAGGAGACAGAAATGGGGTAAGAACCGGAACACACTGCAAACAACAGCCCTCCCTGCGGGAACCCCCCCCATCCCCACCCAGGCTCTGGGTAGAGGCAGCACCTACTGAGAGGGTAGAGCCCAGAGGGAAATGGCTGGTATTTGGGAGGCAGAGTTTGGAGTAGAAAAGCAGCTGACTTCTACAGTTCTCAGGGCAACACTGCAGAGCAGACGCGGGAGGAGCCATAGCCATCTGGACTGGCCAGTGTGACCTACAGAGGGGAAACCAGCTGGACGCAGGAGCCCGGGAGCAAACAAACACAGACAGCACTCAAAACCATGAACAGAAGGAGGAGACAGAAGAAGCTCCAGTAGTAGGGGGAGCAGACGGGAGATGGACAGCAGCCTGCAATGAGTGCTAAGAAGGAGAGAGGCCAGGCAGTGAGAGCCAGAGGAAGAACCGGATAGCAGGGCCTCAAGTGTCTCCCACACAGGATACGCAGGTTGATAGCTACTGTTATTTTCCTTATTCAATTATGAACTTTTGGGGGCTTTTCACAAAATAAAAAAACTACTGAAAAAACATGAATTATTTCAAGAAGAGAGTGATCAAATGGCCCACGGGGATGATCAGTCCAGAAGATGGAGAAGGTGATTTAGCTCGTTGACGCTGTAGATTTTCAAAGAACAGCGCTGACAGCCAGGATTCCACATTGCAGGCAAGACTCAGAGGCAGTGGGTGTGTTTTACACCTAGGATGGAGACTGGGTCACACTCTGTCTCAGTACTGGTACAGTGGGAAGATATCTCTTGGTTTATACAGACGTGGGAAAGTGCATAGAGAGGAAAGCGGTAGGAGAGAGCCAGTGCATTCCTGGAGACACTCTTCATCCGAGGTTCCCCTCCCTCTGGGGACTGGGAGAGCACACCGCTCATCCCATGACCCCACTAGAAAGCGTGAGGCTCAGGAAGCCAATCTGTCTGTCCCTGAAAACGTGACTTCCTCCTTCCACCCTGTTTTACTGTGTTCCACAGAGTTTCATGTGAAGTAAAACTAGTCTGAATGGTGAGAGTAAACCTTCAAGAAAGGCGATGAGACAGAACTTTATAATTGTAATCAAGAATTTTAAAAGAATTGTATGTGGAGAAGTGACAGTTGATGTGTGACCCCAGGCTTCTTCCAGTCTGCTGGGAGTGGAGAGCAGGCCACAGGTCTCCATCTGCTCTAAGTCTCTCCCAAGGGCTTCCGGCACTACACAGCTGGTGTGTCCAGCGTCGCCCTGGGATCTGACACGTGGCATCCAAGCTGTGGAGCACAACACTGACCCCCTGAAGAGGGCAAGGCAGGTGCAAATGTGGTGAACATGGCACCTGGCTCATCTGCTGCTGTCCGCACCATGCATGGGGCAGCAGGAGCGCAGTGCCGAAGGCTAAGCAGAGGAGCCGAAAAATGTTAAGAATTACGCATTTGGTTCTAATCATCCTTTAACTCAGACAAACGACGTCAGTTCATAAACATGTGCAACTATAAACACACTCTGCCCCTGAAATCACTGCTTTCTCACATGGGAACCTGGCAGAGTCTACAAATCCTCACACTGCTTTCATCAGGGTGCATGAAATAACCGACTTCCCCCCTGTTCCTCCGAGTAAACATTCAGCTCCACATGTGAGGATCCAGGCGGAGGGGGATATGCTAAGTAAGATGTGCTGAGACCTAAGCTACGAACACTTAAACTTGGGGGGCTGGGGGGATGCATGCGCCTTGCACATGGCAGCCCCGGTGATGACACTAGCCTGAGTGTTAGAAAAGATTCTTCTTAGGAGACAGTTGCCAAGCACTAGCCACATACACTGCCTGAAGTGGAATATGGTCACCATGCTCCTACTACTGCTCTTAAGGTGGTCCTAGTGTTAATACAGGGAGAAAGTTGTCTCAAAATATACAAAGGTAATTTTCTAAACCTGAAGAAATTATTATTTTAGATATATATTTTTCTCTTCTGTTGCTGGTAAGTCGATGGGTATATTTTCTTCTGCTGGTGAACTATGCTTTTGTAGAAATTCAAAAAAGAATTGTCCTGTTGCTTGAATTTCCACAAAATTAGTCTTTCCCTAGAACTTTTCCAGGGTTGAGAAAGTTCAGATGTATTTCCCTATTATCACGATTCCATCCCAGGTGGGAAGAAAGGAAATCAGTGGAGGAAAATTTAAAAAAAAAAATAAAGGTCTTTAAAGCTCTGAGGGCTATGTCAGCTTGTGGGTGAAATGTTTTTCTTACACTCAGAAGCAGAGCTGTGGGCTGGAGGCTCGGCTCGGCAGGAGCACTGGTCTAGTATGTGCGCAGCCCTGAGCTCCCTCCTAAGGCACAAAAACAGACAAGGAGGAAACAGTGCTGAGGCTATGCTAATGTTTATGAATCACTTGGGGCCCGGAGTTTGGCAGCATTTATAATATCATAATAGTCTACTATCTCTTAAGGACATAAGCTAGAAATGCTAATTTAATTTAATTTAATTTAATTGTATGTCAAAGAGAGCACATCTGAAATTGGAAGCACTGATGGTGAGCTTAATGGCCCTGGAGCTTTTGAGCCTTTTTGATTCCTGTAGAGATTAAAGAAGAAATAAACAGAAATACGTGATTTTACACTCACTAGGACATTCAGTCTCCCAATCAAAGTGGTTTTTATTCAAGATGCTTTTAAAACTTTTCAGGGCATCTGTGTAACTGGGAACACTTCCTCATGGCTGGTCCACGGGTCTTGAGAAGGTTTGGTTGATTTCAGTGATGTTAGAGCTGTGGTCTTTACCTTTTATCACCACCATGGAAGGGATGGATTTCAACTTCTTAGCGTCAAGGATCTTTCTTTCTCCCTTGACATTATTGATTTCTTATTCTCTATTTCACTTGAAACTGAATGTAAAGTGAAAATTAGCAAAACAAATAATGCATTCAAGACAGAGAAAGATCTAAGAAATCCTGACACAACACCTTTGTTCTTTATATGCAAGATCTAAAATGGAATTACATCCAGCCAGAGCAAGTATGGGAAGGCAATCTATGGGGATTACAAATCAGCCCATTACGTTTTTCTTGAAAAAGACAGAAAGATGAGTATACGTTTGTAATATTGCTTTTATTCTAGAAATAATGCTTGCTATTTTGATATTTGATAAGACACTTTTGTTTCAACCAAAATAGCACTAATTTCTAGCTTTTATAAAATGGCCTTTCCACCCA